AATACTTCGCAACGCATGGAAAAATGTTGGGATATATTATCGTTTTATGTTGGGGAAATAAATAACTGGAAGAAAAAACGGAACAGTCTTACTTCAGTGTGGAAACAAACCATCATTTAAATTTATAACCTTATATGTTTGAAAAAATGTATCTTTCTAAAGAACTCTATAAGACATAAGTATGTCTGCACGTAGATACTTGAACATACATTAATGTATATAGACTAAATGCTGTAGTCTTCAATTTTCTTTTTAATTTTTTGTTGACACTAAGAAGCTATATACTTGAACATATTATATTTGACTTTATAATTTTAGAACAGTATTATATTTGATTTGATAATTTTTATTTTCACTATAGGAATATTAAAACAAGTCAAAGATTATATTAAACAATGTAGCAAATGCCAGGAGAAACTAGATCGTTCCCGTCCAATATCAGATGCTTCAGAAATGTTGGAAGAATTGGGACTAGACCTTGAATCTGGAGAAGAGAGTAATGAATCAGAAGATGACCTGAGCAACTTTACTTCACCTCCAACTACAGCCTCCAAACCTTCAAAAAAGAAGCCAGTATCCAAACATGAACTTGTATTTGTAAGTGGTACTTTCTATTCAGCTTTGCCATTTGCCTACTAGTGTACTATTTGCAGTCTTGGTGACCTTTATTTTTCTCAAGCCACTAAGATTGCTTGACTGTTTGCACTGACATTGAAGATTTGAGCAAATCTATGCTTATTGAATAAGCCTATTGAATAAGCCAAAATGTGTAATGTAGTATGTTGTTACATACATAAGCTGTACTGTCTCTTTATCATAAATGTTCCTGTTATTTCTTTTCTTCAGAATGAACTTAGTTACATGTTGATTTATTGTTAATTATTTCTCCTCCTTTTTTTTTTGTAATGATATATTGGTACAGGTAAGCAGAATACATTTCTGGAAGCAGTCTCTAGATCATGCTGCAAGGTAAAGTTAATCTGGCTAAGTTTGTTTTTGCCTACTTCAGTTTCATACATCATCAAATTTCTGACCAGTAAGCATAGACAGCCAGAAGTGAGATAAGGTTTTCATTAGGTCAAGTACAGTGACTATAGCAGTAAATGGTGAAGACAGCATACCTATTTAATTAAATACATATGTAACAAAGAAAGAATATGAGAATATTTCTTCATCTCTATTAAAAGGGAATATGTAATGTGTCTTGCTTCAGAGTTTATTAAGTATAAAAAAATTTGATATATAGAGTACAATTCTTGATCTCAAACTTCTTTTGGTAGGTTGACACCAAAGGAGTGGTAAAACGTTCTTCTCCAAAACATTGTCAGGCTGTCTTAAAACAGCTGAATGAACAGAGACTTTCCAACCAATTCTGTGATGTTACTTTGTTAATTGAAGGAGAAGAGTACAAAGCCCATAAATCTGTTTTGTCAGCTAATAGTGAATATTTTCGAGATCTTTTTATTGAGAAAGGAGCTGTTTCCAGTCATGAGGCTGTGGTGGATCTTTCTGGTAAGAATTTTCTATTCTTACTTTCTATTTATGATTACATTCTAGAAAGGCTGAGGGTTTGGGTGTCTTCCTAAGTCAGAATTTATGCTAAAGGAGGAGAAACCCACTTATGAACTGAAAAGAGTTTTTAAGTAAGACTTCCATGGTAGAGTTACAGAAAAAATTGTTATTTCCTGTCAACACCTCTTAGATATACAGTTACAGCAGAATTATTTCTGGGATTTAAACTATTGAAAACAATTTGAGAGAAATCAACAAATCCATTAGTGTTATTATACTGAATAAATATGATATTTAAAAATTGTTGGCTCTGCACCTGTGGCTCAAGCGGCTAAGGTACCAGCCATATACACCAGAGCTAGTGGGTTCAAATCCAGCCCGGGCCAACCAAACAACAATGGCAGCTGCAACCCAAAATAGCGGGGTGTCATGTTGCATGCTTGTAGTCCCAGCTACCTGGGACGCAGAGGCAGGAGAATCACTTGAGCCCAGGAGTTGGAGGTTGCCTTGAGCTGTGATGCCACAGCACTCTACCCAGGGTGATAGCTTGAGGCTCTGTCTCAAAACAAAAAAAAATGTTTAAGCGAGGTGCAGTGGCCCATTCCTCTAGTTCCAGCTACTTGGGAGGCTGAGAGAGGAAGATCTCTTAAAGTCAAGAATTTTAGGCTGTTGTGTGCAATCTTTGTAAGTGTTTTGTTTTTTGTTTAAGATTAAGCATCAGGCTCGGCGCCTATAGCTCAACCGGCTAAGGCGCCAGCCACGTACACCTAAGGTGGCGGGTTTGAATCCCCAGCCCGGACCCGCCAAACAACA